GTGCACATTTCGAACAAAATCTTCATTAAAAAGTTTATAAATAAAATAATTAAAATAATAAATTAAATATATTTTTTTCTTTTTTCGTGATTTCCTGCGAAACAAAGCAAAAAGGAGCATATGTCTATAGGACTTTTTTTCTTAGTTTTTTACTCCTCTACACGCTCCCGAAGTTTTGCCATTTAATTTGGAAACACCCTGTATATCTTACTTTGATGATAATTAGACCGCTTACTATTAGATTATTTTTTTTGTTTTGAAAAATGATCAAACTCTCCGAGAGAGAGAGAGAGAGAGAGAGAAAATTTTAAACTCGTCTATTTGTTCCGTCGTTTCTATCGTTCGATCATACGTAGGGACGGAGAAATAGGCGCCTTTGGCCGAGAAAATTTTGCGCAATTTTGGCTTTGAGCCCATTGACGAGTAAATCAGGGTACGTTCATGGCGCGGGCAGTCTAAATTCAACGAAACGGCGTTTATATCGTTTACGCATTAATGTTAGGGCGTTGTCATGATATTCCATCAATTCCATTCCAGTCATATACGATCCGCGATACTTGCACGTAGTTACGCGCATTTAATCTGCGCAAATTGTTTGCTACAGTTTTAACATAATTTTTATTACAATTTAATCGCGAAGCGGCGCAACGAGACGTACGCTCGTAAATCACAAATAATTTTAATAGGCTTTCTACAATAAATCATTACCTAGGCTTTAAGTCTTAAGTTATAAGAAATCGACCAATCGTAATCGATTATTCTTCTCACATTCGACTGCGATTGGTTAACGTCTTATGATTTAAGACTTAAAACCTAGGTAATAATTTACTGTAGAAAGCCCATAAGAGTTATTGAATTCAGTGTGAATATGTGAGACTGAGAATGTATCATATACCTCGCAAACGTGGTCATAAGGATTCATAAGAAATCGATTAATCAACGATTTCGTTGAAGCACGTGCAGTTAAATAGTAGCAGAGAGAGAGGGACGGCATTAAAAAAAAGGCATTTAACGCCGTGCACGAGGTTTATCGATCAATGTTAACGAAATAATGCTCGCTAAATGAGAAAGTGGACGCAGTGTTCGTTATCAGCATTGAAGGAGAACGAATCGTGAACGAACTTGGAATCATGTGTGTCGTGATAACGTGCGCTCATTCACGCGGAGCATCGTGTTAAGCATCAGTAAGCAGCAGTAAGCAGCAGTAGCGCATTCCTCCCGCGTGCGCTTCTACAGCATTTTTTAGGAAATGTATAGCTGCTATAACGTGCCCGAGATTATTTTATATGTCATACATTAATATATGTATATTACTAAAAAATACTCCAATTTTTCCCACGTACAGTACAGCAAGTTTATATTCTTTGTAGCTAAACCAGTAGTATACGAGTACACTTGTTGTACTTAAAATGAAACATCACACACACGCGCGCACACACACACACACACACACATATATACATTATATAAAATTTTACGAAAGCAAGATAGAAAGTTTTAGTGCGGCGACAAAAAACAAGCCTAATGAAACCCGTTTTACAAGACATTAAATTCGGAAGAATGTAGTGTAGCGCAACGAAATAAATACTCTCTAAATCTGAATCAGTGGATAGTCACTAATTACCCTGAACCAATGGCATACTTGGCACTGATAATTAGTGAAGTTCAATTAAAAAAGAAAGAATATTCGAGCATTATATGACAAAAATACTGATATTTGCACGTTAATTTCAATCTTCCATATTCATTGAATTTAACCACTAAAACAAGGTTAGTTGGATCACATAATAAAGATTAGCTAGGTTAGGAATCTCATATTTAATTCACTGATTACCAGTGGCATACTTGACACTGATATCAGTGATTATCCACTGATTCAGATTTAGAGAGTATGCATTCGTAGAAAGAAATATATAGCATGCTGTTTGCAGCTGATAAATATCAAATAAAAAAATTTTGTAAATCGATTAAACAATTTGTAACGACATGTGACGACTAATAATTATTGTTTTGAATTAGCATGTGTTCTCTGCACGTTTATAATGTGTTTTTCACCAAACACTGAAAAATTGACGCATGGCTTATAAATATAACTATCACATCTTTGTGCTCTCCATTATCTCTCTCGACATTGTTACCGTTTATCGTATTCGTTGAAGACAACGTATCTCACATATACTTATTAATTTCACGTTTCGCTTCAACGCCACACACTTTTTAAATATTATTATATCGCATTCTTATACACAATCTGTCTTTATGGTGAAAACGAATAACGTAGATTCTCAATCGCGCGATGGTAGGATTAACCATGATAAACGATTTCTCAGCTTGTGAATTGAAAGGCTTTAAAGTCGTATTTTCTATGTGTAAAACCGCTATTTTATTTGTTTATGCGTTTTCGTCTTACGACAAAGGACAGAGAGGTCCTCGGATCTCTCTATCCTATAATTAATCAACAGGTTTGAAAAATTTGTAAGTTATAATGCGCGAAATACTTTAGAAACTTCAACAACTGTCGACGAATTAAATTATTCACGTTTACGATAACCTTTGATTATCGAAACTCTATTTATTTCCTGCTCATAATTTCGATTCGAAATTAAGATCGGTTTTAATGTACGTAAAAGTGCTAAGAGAGTGATCTTAAATACACGACTGCTATACATCATACAAATGTGTGCGTGCGTGCGTGCGTGCGTGTATGTAGCATCTTGATACTATGTATATTCGATACCAAAATATAAAATAAACTAGTATAGTATAAAATAAAATATAAAGTAGACTACAGGTAAAGAATCGACGAACCATGATGGGTGGTGCGATCGCTGCACACTCATTGCGTTATCCAAGTTGTTCAATGTTCAATTTTCGTATTGCGAAGTAACAGTTTGACAGTACGCTGAGATCAGTCCAAAAGCGTAAAAAACGTTTGCACTTTAATATCGAACTAATATTGGAAGTTGGCGCGGATCACTCGCGCGGGCGTGCTACCGCTTGGCCTTTGCACGAGGTCGAACACCCGTATTCACGAGGCGGCAAAATCTCCAGATCCCGCGAAATCTCATTGCTGAAGAATGAGAGGAGGGGAGGAGGAAAGAAAGGGAGAGAGATAGGGGGAGAGACAGAAAAAAGAGAAAGAATATACGCGTTGCACGATCGTCGATGTGGTCGATGGCGACGAAGCCAATCATCCACGAGCGAATACGTTGACAAACGCGAACGCGAATGCGCGATTAAGCGCGATTAAGCGCGATTAGGCGCGATTAAGCGCGATTAAGCGTGCGTTTGTTCTTGGCCGACGCGATTAGTGATATTCGAGAAAAACGATCGAGTCGAAACGATGAATGTGTGAATCAGCGATCCGTCATCGCGTCCGCGGAAACAATGTCTTTCATCTCGAAACAAAGTTTTCCCACGCACAGATATGAAAGTGCTTCTCGGCTACGAAAAGATCGCCTTGCCGCTCGTCTTGCCGCGCGCGATCGGCATTGCGCGCGTCGCGCACAGAAAGATGACCGGGCTAATACTGATAGCTGGTACCCGTTCTCGCTGATACATATGATATGACCATTGGCTTCGAACGCGTTTCGTCGTGACGTCACGATATGTGCCGATCTTACATCGCATCGCGACGCAATGATGAGGGTTTATTCCGCATGATATGCTATTTTACACGACAATTACCGAAAAAAACGTTTCATCGATCGATGATTAATTCAATATTTTTTTCGATCACTATAACAAAGATTTAAAGTTTGCTTTTTATCGACTAATATAATTTTGCATTGAGATAATTACGAATCGCATAAGACGGCGCTAATTGAGAAAGCTGAACAAACGGCAATTGAATAGAAAGCTGCAAGCGTCTATAGTATAGTGTCGCGGGGTTTCCCCGCAGTCTTCTCTTACAACAACTGCATAGATTGACTACCGATGCGTTTGTTATTTGCATTCGTTTCGTACGAAATCTAACGATAATTCATAACGAATGAAAGCGAGCGCGCAAGATGCACCATCTTTAAAACGGTTTTCGGACTAACAATGTGGCATATAATTTCCTATAAATAATTTCCATGTACACAGGATGTACACCCGATATTCGTAAAAATACCAAAATACCACAGCGAGAGAGAGAGAGAGAGAGAGAGAGAGAGAGAGAGAAAGTTGTCGAAAAAAGTAAGTTAAAAAAGTTTTTCCAAGCAGTTATAGTTTTTTAAGTATAAAGGTTAAAAATTGGCCAATTAAATAGATTACAATTAAGCGGGTGCCGGCTCACGGACATGCAGGCAGCCGTTTAGCTCAACTGTAATTAATCAATTTTAAATATCTTAATTTATGTCTCAAAAATTACTGCTTGGAATTTGCCGTTTTTCATTTCAAGTAGCAGTTTTTAAGGTATAAAGTTTTAAAATTGGCCAATTACAGAATACAGTTAAACGTAGTTTTAAGATATAAAGTTTTAAAATTGACCAATTACAGATTACAGTTTAACTGTTTGTTCGTGACCCATATAGGGTCATCAGTAGTTATAACGAAACCAATACTTAGCCAACGCTACGACTGTCAACTGACGGCCAAGGTTCTGTCAGCCAGTACTGGGCCCCATCACTGGCAAATGACTGGCTAAAATGACTGGGCCAGTAGTTTGCCAGTACCTGAACTGTAGCAATCAGTAATGGCCTAGAACTAGGCCGATTGTAAAACCCTATATGGGGAGTTATCATACTCCATCAACACTATCGATGCACGATTCAGGGACATGAGGCAACCGTTCAATTGTAATCTATAATTGGCTAATTTAAAACCTTTATACCTCAAAAACTATTGCTCGGAACACTGAAACGGCAAATACTTTTTTAACTTATTTTTTCGACAACTTTCTCGCTTTGATATTTCCCTGATGAAAATAAAAATCGGAGCGTGAATCGAATGTAACGGGAGAGTAACAGAAAAGCGTATATAAATTAACTTCTAGGAGGAGCGAAAATTGAAATATCAAAATTTAAAAGAAGCGTAAACGCTTTCGTTTCATTTACGCTTCTGTTACTCTCCCATTACGTCCGATTTACGCTCCGATTTTTATTTTCATCAGGGTTTGATTCACAAATTTCGAGACATCCTGTATAAAGCTTATCACACGAATCGTACAGTTGTACAGATAAGAAACAATTTTCTTCTCTCACCTATATACAGGGTGTCCCAGAATGACCGCCAAATATTTCGTATGCTGATAGAGCGGACTAAACTGAGTCGAAAAGTCCTCTGCCATTTTGCAATTTTTGCAATATTTATAATAACAAGATATTAAAAATCGCCGAATATTGATTTTCAATAATTTTTTACTCAAATACTATCAACTTTACAAAAAAAAAAAAAAAAAAAAAAAAAAATAGCAAGAGACAAGAATTATTTATTTTCTTCTCATAGAGTTCTGAGAATTTTTTCATAATTTTTTAGTACCGCTTTAGTACTTTCTCATGTTATAAAAATAATTGCCAATAAGAAAATACAGTACTAAAAAGTTGATGAAAAATTCTGAAAAAATTCTTAGAGTTCTATGAGAAGAAAATAAACAATTTTTGTCTCCTGCTGTTTTTCTGTTGATAGTACTTGAGTAAAAAATTATTGAAAACCAATACTCGATGATTTTTAGTAATTAATATTTTGTTAAATATTGCGAAAATTACAAAATGGTAGAGGACTTTTCGACTCACAAAGTTTAGTCCGCTCTATCAGCATACGAAATATTTGGCGGTCATTCTGGGACACCCTGTATACCTAACATCTTACTCTACATATATATATGTTTTAAATTAAAATAATACGTACACTCTACTCAATTAAGCTCTTGTTATTATTTAACACATTAAGCTGAAATTCCTTTTCCTTTTCGTTCAAACTTGTAATCGAGTGATTGTAAAATTATAATCGTCACATTATATAACAATAGATTATTTTCAAAGTACATATGAAGCAAGTTATCTTTATTGTTTTCTCTGCCATATTCTTATATAGTGATAGACATTATTTTTTTATACGATATCAAAGTCATATCATAAAAGACCTTCTCACGACAAAATTGCATTCTTGATACGGAGAAGATGATAAAAGTATAGATTCCGACTTAGAACTAGCTAAAGATAAGCGTAATAGCATTAAATATATCTTATTTTTGTACCTGCTTTTCGTCAGAAAATGACAATACAGTGAGTGCTACGTGAAACTCAATTGTTTCCTGTTCATTTTATATATATATATATATATCATTATATATATGTATACATATATACATACGTGTGTGTGTGTAAAATAGCTAAGTATGTATGTATATACATGAGTGGAATAACATGCATCGATATACGCTCGTCATAATTCGTCGAAAAATAACGACATCACGTATCGGGAAAATCCCGTATAATTGAAAAGTAAATTAAATACTGCAATACTGACATCCCGCTCATTTAAATCGCTCGTATAATCGTGAAATTCTTTAAGACCTCACAAACTTGGGAAATTTCCAAAGGACATGGATTTCTAAGTAAAACATTTGGCGAGGCAAAAGAAACAAACAGAATAATTATCACGGGACCGGCATATATATGTATGTAAGACGAGCGTAACTTCCCTCGAATGAATTACCAGCCAAGTCATTTAACTAATTCCTATTCAACGACAAGATCAAATCTTATTCATCGAATCTCGTAATTTTCCAATAAATTGACGTAGTTTTCCACTTTTATCATTATTTAGATTATTTTTTTATTTTTTTATTTTTTTAATTAACATGCATGTTAAACGCTGCAATATTCAGATTCAATGGGAAGGAATATACACGCGCGTTACAATGACGCTGCATACCTACATCAGGATCACTCGACGCGTCACGCACGTGTGCTTTGCTTTATTATTATATATATATACATATTGTTTAGACATAATTGCTACTTGTCTAATGCACAATAGGAGTCATCTATATTTAATAAGGCCTATATTCAGTGATGTATTAATTAGTATATTCACAGTATAGATGTAAGATAGAATGTACACACATGTATATGACACATGTATGTCTATGTATGTCGCATATAGATCATTTAAACTGTCGAGCATAAGAAATACATGTTAATATAGTGTTTGTAAGTAAACTTACATTTTAAATTTTGCAATTCGGAACGTTTTTGATTCTCTTTGCGACTTTCTTAAGTAACTCCTAATACTGTCAAACGATAAAAACTTTTCCATAATAAAATTTGTACACAGTTTAGATTTGTAGTTGATATAATAACAGGTAACAAATAATATATATATATAAACTATTTCCTCATCTTTATCAACGTGTCGTGAGAGCGAAACTATATAAGCGTTAGGATCTATCAATAAACGAAATACGTTTGCTATACCTTTAAAACTAATAGCCAATCATATTAGATACATATATAGGATATTTCGTACGTATATCATATACAAATACAAATTATGACAATATATTATATCTTGGAATTTTCGAACGCGAAAACAATTGACTGCCATCGCGTTTACTCGCGTGTGTGAAATAGCGCAGTAGAACACTATATAGAAACTACTGTAAAACGATTGATCCACGGAAAAGAATTGATACGCTTTATACTAGCGTGCGTATATCGAAAGAGAAGCGAGCGAGAGAGAGAGAGAGAGAGAGAGAGGTAAATAACATTTAATATCGTCAGCAGATCAGCTGGTCGCGTTACCATAACCGCAACGGCTGTTATTGATCCGCAGCGCAGAGGAAGGTGTTCCGTACGCGCGGTACATTGGTGCACATACGTATGCTATTTCTACCTCGACCTCAACGCTACGATTGATAAAGCGTAAAGTCACCACTCACCGATGCTCCTTTTCTCTGCCTCTTGGAACCGATGCTAAAAAACCGGGGTGAGCTGCATGATATACGCGCGAGAAAAATAATCAGCTGCTGTACGCCAGTCGACACTGTCGCCGAGGAAGTTGCTCGGATCGTGCTCGAGATTAATCCGGTCCGAGAAGGAGGCGGGTGCTCGAAATTAACCCGCGAGATGGAAGGAAAGCGATCGCGACGAATTCGGCGCGATCTTTCGATTCGAGTCGATCGAAGCCGAGAGAGCACGGAGACGGCACGCACTAAAGTAACTGATTCCTCTGCCTCTTGACTTGCGTCGCGGTATCGCTTTTCCTGGCTTTTGCTAAGCAAAGCAGCGGCAGGCAAGCAGCGGTAAGCAGCGGCAAGCGGCACGAGCCAAGGGTGAATTTTAACCGATCGACTGCGCGCGCACCGCGCGCCGTCGCCGCGCATCAAGCATCGCGCATCGACTCTTCTCGCCCCCTTCTCCCCCCCTTCGCCCTCCTTCGCCCTCCTTCTTGTTTTCGCCACCCTCTTTTCTCTTTTTTTATTCCATCACGCGAACGTTTTACTCTCACACCTTGCGAATACTCAATTTCTCTCTTCAACCATTTTGCTGCGATCATTCGTATAATCTTTTTACGATACGATGCATCTATTATTAGGTTGTCCATTTCTGAAAATCCATCTACAGACTGAATTAAAGTTCGCTCGTAAAGGTCGTCTACCAACGATATAGGTCCGTCCGTTTTCTGTATAGCTCGCAACTAGTGTACGCTGTTGGAACTTTAAAATAAAAAAATATTTGATGTTTGTTTGGAGAAAACGAGAAAAAAAATATCAGTTTCAGTGCGTGCAGGAATAAAAAAAAAACTAATCCAATGTCAAAATTATAATTCACTTAAAATCATGGAACCTTGCCAAATTTGGCAACGAGATCAAACACATATAGTCTCATTATAATTCAACTGAATGAAACAATCACGAGATATACGATCTCCCTGTTACAAGTGTTACATAAAAAAGTATATACGTATACTATGAAAATGACTTGCACGAGCGGTAGTAATATCATTTCGCTGCCAATCGTAATCAAATTTTAATTAATAAAATATTTGAATATAATCTGAACGGTCTAGCTTAATAGCCAGAAAAAGAGATTACACGCACATTAATTGCTGTTGTCTCATTAAAGTGAAACGTTTCACTAAAACAAATTTAGAAAAGCATATACGCGACAAAGCGAATGATTTCGCCGAAAGGAAAAACGTGCGACCTTAAATAAGAGGATCCTAAAAAGCGTCCGTCTGTATTACCGACTAATCATAATTTTTGTATAACAATTACTTTTTTCTCTTTTACAGATTCGAAAATCCTTTTCCAGGATTAAAGTAATACGCATTGATACGTGTCTGTGAGACGGAGTTTACGCCGAGAACGATAAAAAATTTTTCTTAAGATTTTTTTCAATTTCGAAATTTTTTGTCGTTCTCGGAATAAATTCCACCTCACAGACACGTATCAATGCGTATTACTTTAATCCTGGAAAAGGATTTTCGAATCTGTAAAAGAGGACAAAAGTAAATCCTTGCGAAGCACGTAATTTCGTTTTAGGAGATATATTCTTTTCTACGCTTTGAATCTTAATTCTACAAGCTCAGTAGTGTTTGTTCAAGTAAGCTGAATCCCGCTAGATGCTTATTTTCAATCTACAAGCTGTAAAACTTTTATATCAAGCAAACGTTAGCCTCACAAATGACAGTTTTAACACACGTGTGCCAGAAAAAGTGAATTTTTTAATTTTTTTTCCGATTTTCTCGTGAAATCGTAATTTCCGAGCTTTCTTTTTATGCGTTCTTTAATTCTGTCTTTGTCTAATCCACGCAATAGTAAAGAATGGAAAAGAACCACAAAAACGTGAACGTTACCCTACGAGGTTTGGTACACGTGTGTATTATGTAGTACATTATACGATGCATAAAAAAATTTGTACAAATTACCTTACATCGGTATCGCGTTACGTCAGTCGATCAAACGTTGATCGCAATTAATGCAGTTGATTGGTGCGCGCGCGCCGAACACGTTTGGTTGTTTGTGGGATACGATTAAGAAGCTTCACCATTGGAAAGCTTTACAATTTTCTCGCGTCGTAACAAAGAATCAAGTGCATTTTAAGTAAATCGATCCCTCGACATGAAGCCAACGCTTGTGGCTGATGAAATGTTTCCCGAAGGAGCTGGACCTTACGTTGAGTTAGAGGAGGTAATGTTATGTATGCACAGCTCTGATGAGGTTAGGAATATATATGTATTGACATAGACACACGTTACTGTGAAAACCCAGTGTGATTTCTTTGGATTGTAATTTTACATTGTTCTCACACTATATTAATTTCAGGTTGGAGGTAGTAGGCTATTAGTGGATCTTACGGCTAGCGAGAAAGCTGTTCATTCGGAATTTTTCAATGGTATATTAAATATTTAATTTATTATAAATTTAGCTCCTCCAAATCCAGAGAAAATCAATTTTTTTTCTAAAAACCTAAATATTTCTCAAAATGTGGTTTATTTAGAAGATTTCGATGGTATATTAAATATTATTTAATTTTAATATTTTTACATATTTCATAAAAGATTACCGACATATTTTTTTGTGTAAACAATAATCCAAGTTAACAGAATATACGGTTAATTTATTGAAACAATTGCTTTTTTTAGACTTTGACGATCTTTACGATGATGATGATTTGGAGTAAAGCAGCATTTCTAGGAAGTTTTAACTACACAGTGCTTTTGTACAGATTGCAATTAACTTAGCATTATCGAAGCAGAAAATTCCTTGTTTTCATAGATCCATGCAAAACATGGGTACAGCAGAATCAATGGACATCGTATGTCATCAGTTGCGTTCAATAGAAAATGGCGATTTATATTTTACGATTATCAGCAAAATAATCTATGGCTTTTCTTTTGTCGTATGCTGCTCGCCGATGCTGCATGTAGCTCATCATTTCTTTTTCAGCGTAATGCCATCATAGTCGATACACATTGTACCATTACTTTTGATACTTGGAATAAATATAAAAAAATCACACACAAAATTGTGTTATAGGTTGATCAAATGTTTAGCAACAAAAAAAAAAAAAAAACTTATGTAACAGTTTCAAAGCTCTTTCTGTTGAACGCAGCTATTTTATAAATGTATCGTATGTGTTTATACTTGTTTGTATATATAATAGATATGAAAAAATGTTTCGTTTCTTAAGTTTGCTGTAAAAAATTACTGCAAACCCTTACATATAGTATTGTTATTCAATACATATCCTTTCCTCTCAAAAGACTAACCACAAACTACAAACTTCATACTGTAACATTATTACAATTTATTTGTATTTTTAATTCGAGTCAAATGTGCGCCTGCATCTATCATACGTCATTTTACTGTTTACCACAGACAATTGTTATTATAAACGTGCCATAAGAAAATGAGTACTGGTCAATATATCTCGCGCGCGCGCGCACACATAATAATATTATGATACTATAAGATTATCCTTTATAATACATAGACGCGCTAGAGTCATAAAACTGTTTGACGATGCACAATTAAAATATAGCACCCCATTCAGTCATTCATTTGTTTATTCTGATCATTTCGTATGCGCATGCATCGTACTATTTTTTTATTACTTGATACGAAAAAAGAGCCACTTGGATTTGCCAATTCAATCAGTCCAATTAATTGCTACGTTTTCTCCTTGGCCCCAATCAACATATTTCCATTTTGACCATTCTCATTAACTTCAACGGATTTACATTCCACTCATGATAATTATAAACTCTTATCCTTGTTCGATATATGTTAAAAACTGGCGACCGGGGTGAAGACGATATTGGCAACAACGACGATATTATTAATGTTGGCATATCGCTGATGATAGTGGCGAGTATCCTAAAATTCAGAAGCAAAGTTCCTTTGACTGTAACTTAACATTGCGGACTGATATTCTGAAGTTTTAAATATGTTTATTACTATATAAAATATGTTAATATGTTACTAATATGTATTGAAATAATAATTGCTACAGTTAAATATTGTATAATATTATATGGTACGAGGCACAACGTTTTTATATATACACATGTAAAAAGTATATTATAAATGAATGGGAGGAGGAGAGAAAGGAGAGGAAGGGTAAACATACAAACCCTGAGTCTAGCCTTTGAAGAGTTATTCGGGGTGCTAGTTAACTTCAAGATCGCTGTCAGCCTGATCATCCTGATCGCTTTCTTCTTCGTCGTCCTCTTCCTCCGAATAGTACTGAGATGGTGGTGATAAAGGATCTTCCGACAATGAAGTATGTGACGACGACGGTGGTCTAGAACCTTCCAATTTAATATCTAAATCCTCCATCGATGTACTTGGACCGGGAATAGTTACTGGAATAAACTTCTCTAAATCCCCTGATGCTAACTCTGCAATGATCGATCTTGTTAGAGCAAATTGAAATTTAAATACAAATATATGTGTACATTTATATATATAAAACAGTGTATCTATATATATATATATATATATATATACACACGACAGAGAGAACATACGTTCTACATATTTCTCAAGTGATTTCGGAACCATAAATTTTGCCTTTTGTAAATTTTCTTCAGTGCATTCCCCTTTTTCTAGTCCTAGAAAAACATTTTATGCGTCATAGTTTATAGATTCACGAGATTTTAGCACATTTCAACAAAATATTAAAAAGTAATGACTAATTATAGCATAAAAAGTGGAATCAGTATTTTTTACCGAAAGCTAGACCCATCTGTTTTAGAACTTCGATATCGTCATGAATTTCAAACTTATCATTAAAATTAAACAGGTACTCGGTTCTGTAACAAAGAAAAAAATTGGCTTAATATCTCTCCTTACGAAATATTTATGATTGTTATCTCATTGTAATCTTTTTTTCTTTGTTTCTGTTTGACGTACTTGTCATTTGAAATGCTGCAATCTATGACAGTCTTTTTACTGGTATTCACAATAAGGAATGGCAGCTGTATGGCAGAATTAGGTTTCGGTGGCCCACGGAGATTTTCGTTTAAACGATTACGTTCAACCAAGTTCTTAAAAGAAATATGAGAGAGGATTAGCTGATGCAATTGCTGCGTTTTAGCTTTGATTCTCTCAATTTTTTTCTTCTTATCTTTTTCTAATGCTACACATTCCTGTAATGAATTAGTGGGCAAGCCGAGCCACCTGATTTCCTTTTTCTCCTTTGAAATGATGTTCATTGCCATTAACACGTTAGCGTCGTATACGCGTCTTCTAATATTTTTCTGATCATATTGCTGAAAAAAAGTGAAAAACATTCAATTAAATTAATTTAATTAATTATTATTATGGTCAAATAAGTATATTTCAAAACAAGTTTATAATTAATATGCGGATTATATTGTTTGTGGACCACATGTCACCTTGAAACATTATGGTCTCTTCTAGTTACTGGCGACAAATATTACCAAAGCCTCAGTAGTCGAATTCCAAGTACGATATCCATCCCGGAAAGTCGGAAATTCCAGGTTCGGACTCTGGCAGAGGCAAAATTTTTCGCAATAAACTATTCAGTTTTTAGATTTTCATTAACACGTGACGATTAATATTCTTGTAAAAGATGCATATTAACATCAAAAATTATTAAATTGCTTGTTTAATTTAACAAGTGATATTACTATTGTGGTTCTGCTCATGGACGGATCGAAAAAAAGATTTCGGCGCGTGGTATGTGCAATCACATATGTATATAAATTCACATAAGAAATATGTATTTAAACAATATGATCCGCTTCAACTGAATATAAGATTTCTCTCTCATTTAATTATATAGATTTATTCTCATCGATCTAAATTCATATCATATTATAATATGTGGATATTACGAGATAAATACCTGATCTGTCAAAGAATTTATATGAGCAGGATTAGTGAATTCGCCAACCAATTCATCCGCTACTTCATTGTAGGAAGTAGTACCTTTCTTTTTCACTTTTTCGCAGACTTTCATTGAGAAATGTCTTAATCCTTTCCCAACTTTTTCTGCTTTTCTTCGCTTACTATAATATAAAGAAATAAAAGGTATAAATGGAATAGATCAGATTAGAATTAAATATAGAGTATACATATAGCAAAATTGTGAAAAACTAAATCTGTCATTGCTCCTCTCCCCCACCCTTCTCTCTGTGTGTGTGTGTGTGTGTGTGTGTGTGTGTGTGTGTGTGTGTGTGTGTGTGTGTGTGTGTGCGTGCGTGTGCGTGCGTGTGCGTACGTGCGTGCTTATGCGTGCCCACATGTGATAGACTCATTGCATTACTCAGGCACAAAGTCGCCACTTTCTACATCCTGCCTTTTCCTAGATCCAGTATGATCTAATATTGGACTGATAAAAGTTTTTCCAGTGGCATCCTTAACAAGTTGCGAAGTATTAGACTGTTGTTGCTGTTGTTGTTGTTGCTGCTGCTGCTGCTGCTGCTGTTGTTGCTGTTGTTGTTGTGATGCAATAGCTTGTTTTATATCGCTCTAAAATAAAATATTGTATTTTAAAATGTTTATTGCAAAATTTTTAATTTCCACATTGAATTGTTACTTGTTCATACAAAATTATATTTACCATTTGCGCAGAGGTTAGCTGTATGGTCTTGGTCATCATAGACTCCCCACCTTTTGATGTTGCCATTTTAGTATTTTGCAAAGGTATGGTTACAAGTCCTATAATTACATTATTAAATTAAAGGCTTCCAAATGGTAATAACATGCTTATAATTATATGAAAAAGATCTATTTAGAAAAAAAAAAATCATGCTTACTCTGACCAGGTGTAGATGGATTCTGCAAGCTAATAGTCCGAAGAACTTGTGTATTCGATGATAAAACCTAGTGTTAGAACGATATATATGTAATATTTATAAAAATCTAATTTCCAGTATTATTGCACTGAAGAGAAACATTGGAAATATTCTACATAACGAGTAATTTTCAAATGTAATTGTTTATTTATACAACATTACTTTCTCACTAATGTATTAACACTATATAACCTCTATATATTAAACTAACAACTGCAATTGTGATAAACAAGGTATATGAAATTGAAGCAAGTACCTGCGATTCTTGATTAGGAGCTTTAAACACTTTAAGGCCACCTGCATTTGTTGTGCTAACAATACCACTTAATGCTTTATTAGGTGTGCTTTGCACTACTTTTATCACTTGTGGGTGTCCTGTAATGAATTTGATTCATTCATAACTACTTGTAAATCTTCATTAGACAAATATCAGACATTCGAAAAATGTTTCTTTTCAACAAGAAATCTAATTTAATATAACTGATGCTTTCTCGATTAATTTCAATCTAAGATATACACAGTATATATGTATACAGACAATTGTTCATATTATATCATTTCAAAAATACTTAAAAGAGGAATAAATTATATTTTGTATTTTCAGTTGCAGAAATTTTTAACGCTACATATATATAGAATTAAATAGAACAAAATATATCGAAAATTAGCAAAACTGGATCATTTAATTATAACTGACAAATAATATTATAATATATTTATTATATAGATTATGTAGATTATGTGAAATAACAAAATCTTTAATACATATCTCAGTGGTACTCAGGTTGTAAATAATTAAATTTAGAAATTGTCAATAAATATTACAAATAGTACACCTGAGAACAAACAAATAAGAATATGCTTCTTCAAATCCGACGTTCAAACTATTTAATATTTAAAAGTTATTAACTATTTAGAATATTCCATTCCTGTTATCTGTACAAATATATTGCGAAAAAAAAAAGATGTCATCTTTGCATCTATTCTAAATAAGAATTAATCTTTTTAACGTTGCAAGAATCATGATGAAAGTCGTGTTGATATTTATGCAATCGTGTATGTGTGTGTGTGTGTGTGTGTGTGTGTGTGTGTGTGTGTGTGTGTGTGTGTGTGTGTGTGTGTGTGAAAAAAATAAATTGCTTCATAAACAAACTTATCGGCACCGTATTTTATCAAATGGAATATAATAAAGGCTAGAGACAATAGGCAAAAAAGAAACGTGATACAATCGAGAATATAAACCGTCTATCTATCCATAAACTGGATAGAATTTGCTACTGACAATTATCAACAACGCACGTCTCCCATTTTTAATCGAGATTACAAATGGACATGGTAACAATATCGTAATCGTAATCGTAATGTAAAAAAAGGAGAAAAGTCGGCGAGTTAAAGGGGAAAATTCGGTTGGGAGTAAAAAAGTTGCGATCGCGCAGACAAACCTAATTCAAGTCGGGAAGAAGACCAAGTGCATAAACTCGTAACCGGGCGCGATTTCGGTGATCGAAAGACGCAGGAAGACGCAGGAAGACGCAGAAGGCGCAGAAAGGCCAAGATAGGCCAAGATGGGCCAAGAAAGGCGGAGGGCGGACGAAC